AAAAATCTCTACTTTCCTGGGCATACATTATGGATGTACTGTACATGCAACACTATAATATTAATGCAAAAATAGTACTGGCTTAGGAAGCTCTCAATTAATAACTGTAGAAGTTCCCAAAGAACACTAAGTAGAGGGCCGGCCTAAAGTCCCATTTCGGACGTAATAATGCCAAAAAAGAAGAAGAAGTAAATGCTCTGAAATTCTGTTTGCATCCTTGAAGTACTCTAAACATCTCTGAATATAATGAAACTCCTTTAAATCTTTAATGCTCTTTGAAGTTCTCTATACTTTCTTGAATATTTTGGAACATCTATAAAAAGTTAGTGCGATTGGAACTACCGAAATTTATGGAACTACCTTGAAGTCCTCTGATCTTCGATGGAGTTTCTGCGCTGAACTTCCCTTAAAATGTTCCCACATTATTCTGGTGTCCATGTAACGTCCCAAACGTTTCCGAAATTTTCCTGAAGTCCTCGAAACTTCGCGGAAGTTTTCAAAAATTTCGGAACGCCATCAAAGTTCCAGAAATTGTCTCGAAATTAATTGAGCTGTGTACATTTCATATACCAGGTAGCTATAGTTCACGGCTGCCACGGCTGTTCACGAATATGAGAACGTATTTAACGTAAGTTTATGTCTTTTTGCAACATATCGGGTTGCAATTTAAACAAAAACCAAAACGAACCGCGTTACGAAAAGTGGTCAGGCTTTGACCACATATAACTCTGTCAATAGTGGATGGATTTTAATTCTAAACAAGCAAATCGATTAGAAATTTTGCTACGTATAAATTGAACAATTTTTTTAATTTTAAAAAGGCTACTACTGAAAATAACACAAATGTCTAACAGTTGCAATAGAGATCAAAATTATCACCGATTGCCTGCAAACAGTGCTTTCCCTAACACAGATTTCAAAATCGAATACAATCCGGTCTCCCTTAACGGTGCTGATTCAATCATCGTGTGTGGTGGTGTCCGGTCGGTAGTCAGCAGCAACAGCAGCAACAGGACTTTGGGCACGTGGAATATAGTACACAACGAAAGGCTGCCCGCAAGCAGCGAGCTGCAGCCCACATGAGCGTCCATTCACCGTAGAAGGAGGAAGAAGCCGCACCGCTACTGGTCGGCATCCATTTTCGTGAGTCGCTGTGGGCCATCTATGGCGCCTCACCCTCGTTCCAAACAACATACAGCTCGCCAGTCTCATCCGTGTTGAACAGCCTAATAGCTCAGCATTACTCAACCACTACGATAAAACGGTCCTTTTCAGGATCACCATAAATTATTTTTGTTTAAGAGTTAATTTTTATTGAACGTTCGCTCGCCTTGCTGCCAGCCACATAACCCTCAAAGCTCTTTGATAATGTACCCAGCAACAAAACGTTTGTGGTCAAATGCGTCAAGTATTGAAGTGGTACATAACAATTATCGCACTGACCGAATACCACATAAATCTGTCAATTAAGGGGGGAAGTACAATTAGAATTTTTTTTTTTCGAAAAAAATTTTGTTGGCTTAATTTACTCTATATGTATCTGGGAACGAGCCTTTAAAAGCATAAAGCCGTCCGGAACTTATTTAAAAAGTTATACGCAATTCAGTGAGTGCATGTCAAATGGCTGAACATGTCAAAGTTGAACTTTAAATGCTCCTACTGAAAAGTAGTGTTTTCAAAATCGCCGTGCAATGTACAAGTCAGAGTTTTCATTCAAATCGATTCCGGTTTTCATGTTCATAATTAAATTCTCCACAACATGAATAGTAAGATTTTTTAGATTTGTTTGTTATAACATGTTTTTTTTTATAAACAAAGTCGAAAAAAAAGGGTTTTTTAATTTTTTTTTTCAACTTCAAATTTTTTTGTGAAAAAAACATTATTTTTACATACGAATTAATTCATGTTGTGCGCTGTACCTTCAAATTTAATGTCCTGTTTTTTTTTGTTTCAGACGTGATCATGGACGTAGGGACTGCACGGCGCGAAGTGCTGCTTTAAAAAATTGACTTCACATTATTTATAATAATTGGGCTAAAATGCAAAATTTAAAAAAAATGTCACTGATAATTAATCTTCATTAAATCCTTAATAACATACATAAAGAATCGCTAACATTCATTTATTTCCCTGCTCGCAATCCACTCTCAAAGATAGGCCTCATTTTAGACCTTCTAATTGTACTTCCTCCCTTAACCAGAAAATATATTATATGATTGGAAAAATTTCAGCAAGAAATTCCACCAATCAACATTCGCTTTTATATTATCTATTGAATAAAATTAGGGGCATCCCACTTTAAACATTGTATTTTCCATCATATACAAATAACGTTTTTAGTGATATCCCAAGTATCAATTCTGCAATCATTTGGCATCCATTCTGATTTATGATGGTTTTATAATGGCAATGAATAATCCATTTAGTTTAAATACAGCATCTCACAGTGTAAAACGTTCCTGCTTATTAGTTCACCTTTTCGCTGTTTTAAAAACCTTTTACAGTCTGACGAGAAGTCAAAAGCTGTCTTGTGTTAAAATTAAACTTAAAATGTTACTTGGGATGTAAGATACCTGAAAATACCTAAAAGTATTTAAGAAATATCTAGCGTTAGTTTATTAGCTTGATTGCTATACCGATTTAATTTGTTTTTTTTTATCCAATATCCATATTGGTGAATTGAAAAGTGAGCAGAGCGGCTGTATGTCATGAACCGTTTGAGATGTAATCTGTTCGACCGGAACCAGAAATAGTTTATTCTGACCTGATAGACATGGGGTCCTTTGGTTGGTTACTCGTTCGGCTTGATTTCCATCATTTGTATTCCTTATCTCCATGTGAGTATTGTGTTATAATCGGGGATATAATTGTACTTTTCGTCCGTTAGGTTCATTCTCGATATAACGATATAACGAAGTCAATCACAAACCTCTACACTAGCAACACGTCTTAAAAACAAGTGTTGCTACGATTAAAATATAATCTTAGCTTAAAATACTTTAAAATACTTAATTGATATTAGGTGTAAAGTTTAGAATGAGATGCCGTGCGTTTTGTGCACGAAAATGTGTAATTTTTTCATCAGAAAACGAGGCGTTTCCGTGATGGGAAAAGTGATTTCCCTAACATAGTCACCCAATATTGATACCATGCACTGAGCATGCCAGATGGTACCTATCTTTATGCCTATTGATGCAAATTTCAATAAACGTAGGTACCGTCCGGCAGGCTGAGATTCTGTGATTGATGTGTTTTCAAGAAACTTGAGAAAACATTTCCACAGCATTGTTCTAAACTGGCTTCCAAACTTCCAACCCATCGGCCCACAAATGACTGATAAAAGAGTTAACTAAAGAGTTCAAGTAAGAGCTTGTATCCAAGACATATCATCCAGGATTGGCTTGTACTACATGGACACCTACAGAGCACCTCAAAAACAGAACTCTCTCGTCACTTTTCAAATAGACCAATGTAACATATCCACCATTTTGAGAAAATCGAAGTTGAAGTTCGACAGAATATTATTTTAACTGTTTATAAACAATACAAATTGCAATACTATTTTTTATGTAGTCAGTGAATAATAACGTTTAATATTCAGTAGAAACGGAAAATCCCAATTTTATTTTGAATTTCATGCTACAATGTATGAAAAAACCACAAAGGATGTTTTGACTAGTCAAATTGTACATCAGACATGTTACACCGGACGATTTTATTTCAATGACATAATCAATCAGTGATACATTGGACGTTTTGTTCTACATGATACTAGATTCCCTTTCACAGATTTCAGAGTAGAATTCTTCACTTTAGATTGGCCCCGCCTTTAGAAAATGAGCACCAATCCTGTTATGTAGTCCGAATGACCGAAGTAACAATCATGTCCCCATCATTTCAAACTGTACATTGGACAATTTTTAACCTATGATTATCTTAAATAAATGAAAGCAATAGTTTGTATCGCATAACTCGATTTGTTTACATTTGATACTTAGGACCTTGTGAAAAGTGACGCGAGAATTCTCAAATTGCTTCCGAATTTAAGCCTATCGAACTTTTTCAATGATAACTAAGAAATCAATTTAATATTTTCTATACTTTTGCTGTGACATCAAAACTACCTTTCGTAATCCTACGTCAAATCTACGGTCGTGCCTTGGATACAACCTTTTACTTTTTTTCGAGTGATGTTAACCAAATAGCACAGCAGAAGAGACTGAAGGGCGTAAGCTTTTAGATTCGTTGAATTTGTCGAACTTGATAAAAATTCACGTGAACAATGCCCTTTTTGGCTACCACATTCTTAAATTTTCTTCCCAACTTCATGGTCCCTTCAGTATCGTGTTAGAGAAGAGAGGGTTGGCTATATTAACGGTAATTGAGGAAAAATAAGTCGTCAAATTATCTGAAAATGGAACGCTTTCTTGAAATATCATCTCAATTAATGAAATTAAACCCAGGTTGCATCCAGTTTTCAAAGAACAGCGTTTCACCGTTAATTAGATCTACGTAAATTTCATCCGCTTCTTAATACAATCTGCTTGACCCAGCAACAGGTCAGCGAACACTGAAGAACAACTATCCCCGAAATGAAATTTAATACCTAGAGGTTTTCCACAATTTCCCCTCCTTTCCTTTTGGAGAGTGAATATTTAAGATGTCCTCTCAGTTATTGCAAACACGACGGGAGTTTTTCTCGGTTCTCTGTGCAGCAACAAATGGAAAGCTTTCGTCAAACACGTGGTCTACCAGCGCGTATCGTACACGGAATCTACAACGCAGTGAGCTATTCTGCGCAGAAGCTCTTACTCGGAATTAGTTTGAGAGAATGGGATTGAACTTTTGCTAAAAATGATGCTCTCTCTCTCTCGCGGACGCTGACTGAGAAAGGGAGACAACTACATTTCTGGCTGCTATAAAGCTCTTCGGTTTTCCATAAAATTTTCTTATGGAGCTATACAGCTACCGACCGCCCGCAGGAAAAGCATAGTACTCACCCATATCGTCGATGAGGGGAGCCATCCGCAGGGTGATTCCGACTAGGAGTAGGCACATAATCAGCAGTAGGAAGGCGGTTGCTATAATCGTCCAACGGGCGCGCTGTGGAAGATCATCGGGATCTATAACCTGGAGGTTGATTGAAGAGAAGGAAAATAAACTATTATTGAAGCAGTTTGTGGGAAACTTTAATTCGTAGGAATCTGGTTAGTTGTGTATAATTTTAAAAAAAGTTGGGCACGTTCCATATCTATGTAATAAAAAAAAAGGGATGTTGTCCGAGTCACTACCACGTTATTTGAATTGGAGTACAAGATTGTTTTTGTGATTCGTTGAATAATTTAAAAAATAAAGAGCTACTTCTAACCAGTATGTGAATCAAAATGTCTGAACTTTTTAGTGTTGGTATTAAAGGTTTATCGCTATAGTTTTTGGCTTGATTGATTGGTTCTGTATAAAGTTTGAGAAATTTTAGTATGAATGCGTAACGGTTCGAATAGTAGATAGATTTAAAAGCAGCTAAAAAAAGATGGTCACATTTACGCTGCATCTTCGGAGTTACCAGATCGTCTCAATAGAAGCCACAGATGCTTGATGAAATTGAGTACATTCTAGGCGGTGGGAACAAGAACTAATCAGAAACCTTAAAATGTTCGTGCCAGGCATGTCTAAATACAACACTACACTGTGCCTTTTTTACACACCACCAAGAGCATTCAATTCAACACTCTGTGCAAACAGCAAACAAGGCACCGGTGTATAATGTTTTGCACCAATTTATGATGCTTTGGCAAACACCTAAGTCGAGTGTGTCTGACCTTGGCAGTGTTTTCGATTTCGAACAAACAATTTTAGCTGCAGAATATCTTTTTTTTTTTCCTTTGGTTTGTTTTTTTCCGTGCTGAGCATCAATGCTACCGACGTGCCAGGAAGGCAGCTCCCACATGGACCCTACCTATCGACCCATCAACTCATGAAGCGGGGACCAACGGCTTTACTTCCCATCCGAAGGAAGGCGTGATCAGAGATGTTATGCCTCAGAACATCCTGGCGGCGCTGACTGGGATTGAACCCAGGCCTGCTGGGGTGAGAGGTAATCACGCTTACCACTACACCACCAGCGCCGTTAGAATATCTTATACAGCACTTTAACTAATTAGGTTTGTATTACTTCATGCGTGAAGTTAACAATTTTACATAGCTGGAGATGCTTAACGTCAAATATCAGACCTAAAGTGATAATTTTATACGATAGATGAGGAGATGAAAGCCTTCCCTTAGCTCAGTCGGTAAAGGCGCAGCTACAAAGCAAGACCATGCTGGAGGCGGCTGGGTTCGATTCCCGGTCCGGTCTAGGAATTTTTCGGGTTGGAAAATTTCTCGACTTCCCTGGGCATAGAAGTATGATTGGACTTGCCCCACAATCATATCTTTGCAAAAATGGTACAGGCATCGAAAGCTCTCAATTAATAACTGTGGAAGTGCATATCTAGAACACTAAGTTGAGAGCACGCAATAAGCTAATATGCGATATGCAATAAGCTTGAAATGCAAATAAGAAAAAGAAAGAGGAGATGAAAGTAGAGTTGATAGTTCCGTTAGAGTACGGCAGTGTGAAAATTGTACATAGAGAGTACCAAGCGAGCAAAGGTTAATGTTGAGGAAGGCACGAATCTCCTTTACCAAACTCCCCTGTTGGGGAGGGATGGTGACGGGCGCTCGCAAAAGAGATGATCGCCGATTTGTCATGTGACGTAACCATCTAGTCCAGCGTTGCCCGACGTGTCTCTGCATCTCTCCAATGATGTAACTCTAGTCCAATTTTGTTCATAATTATGAGTTTTGAATGAATGAGAAATAAACAAAATGTTGCCAGAAACATTTCAGAATGAATGAGAAATAAACAAAATGCTGCCAGAAACATTTTCATCGAACAAAGATACAGGTAGAGAAAATTAGAATGGGTGAGCAGGCCTGATGTAGTCGATAGATTTGGAAATTGCAGCTATTGTTGCCTCTACCGTTGTATGTGCTCTTGTCCTCGTCAACTTAATGATCTCGTGGAGACACAGGAAGGGGAGGTGCTGCTACTATACCTTTCGACCAGTATGACTGATGGTAAGCTCCCATATAAGATGATCACTTAAAGTCTGCTTATTGACGTTAAGCATCTCCAACTATGTAAATCATTAGCTTCACGCATGAAGTAATATAAACATGATTAGTTAATGTACAGAAATCTAGATGGGAGCTAAAATTGTTAGTTGAGTAGTCAGCAATCTCAAAAATATACCGTGCCGATTCAAATTTCGGACACTTAAACTCGAATTTCGGACACTTTATATTTTTTTGACTAGTGCCCTCCACGATCATCTAACATTATTACTTTGTTTCTAACTGGATGTAATATTTAATTAAAAATGAAAGTGTCCGAAATTTGAATCGTCCGAAATTTGAATCGGAACGGTAACCATTTTATATCGGAAACACGGTTAACATTAGTTTCCTTATGGTTTTAATTTAGCCGTATATCAGCATTCTAATGCAAAATCATATTTGAATAACAAAAATATGCTTGATCAAAATTTCGGATTTTTCTTAAAATAGCTTATGTAAATGTGAACTTTTTAAATATTAAACACCATGGTCACTTAAAAATTTACAAAAATAGTGAAAATCACTTTTTTGAAATTTTTGCTCAGAAACGATATTTGAGACCTAACGAGCTCATTAGCTAAGTGGTCACCGTTTTTGCTTACTGAGCAGAAGGTCGGAAGTTCAATCCCAGGCCCGTCTCCTTCCTTGCAATTTTGCACTATGTCATGTTCTATCCCCATTGCTATTATCAATCTGCCAGCAACGTTTACCGAACCTATCCTATGGCTTAACCCTCCCCCACTAACAAAAAAAACCTCCAAACTCCTGTGACACTTATGAGAGGTCGTAGAGTTCTCTGCATCTCTCTTAAGTAAGTGTCCAACTTCCATCTAAGATGCCGAGATTAATCCCATAATCTCGGTCAATACGGTAACGGACCGAGGTGGCAATACTATGGTCTGGGACTTGTACCACCTACAAATTTGTGCAACTTGCTAAAATTATAAATAAATAAATAAAAGGAACGATATACCGGTTTTTGAACAAAAAATATTGTGCAAAATATTGTGCAAAAAATAGTTCAAAAATTTGATCAAAAGTTGTTGTTCAATGACTTTAGTAAAATTTTATGTGCACACTTATAAATTTTTACAGAAATCTGTAAAATGTTACCAAAATCTCAACAGCTGAACGTTCGGTAAACAGTTTCACAGATTTCCTGTACTTTTTCACAAATATCTGTGATTTTTTCACAGATATCTGTAAAAAATTACAGGAAAACTGTAAAACTGTTTACCGAACGTTCAGCTGTTGAGATTTCGGTAAAATTTGACAGAAATCTGTGAAAGAATGTTAGTGTGTGTCACAGTTTATCAATATTCCAAATTTCTGGATGCTGCATGTACACTAGCGCCACCTAGCGACATAATTCCGAATTGGTGTCATTCACCCAGCAGCCCGTGACCTCCTGATCTACTTTGCCGAAGACTTTGTAGTCGGTGCGGGTCGGTCCGTCAAAAACTAGCAGCTTAAGCGCCACTTCTTACGGAGGCTGCACGTTGCGTTCTGTTTGCCTGGAGCACTCACACCAAGAAGATTACTTGATAAGAAATTAGAACTGATCCTGCCAGATTGAGCTCAATTAACTAAACGCAGCGGAACCCTATTCCCAACCAACATAACTCTTATTTTATTTCCTCATTGGCAATGCTGCCATTCGTCACCGAGCAGCGCAACCAGCGGATGGGATGATTCCCTCATTCAAATCCCGACACGCGGGAGATGGGAACGAAATCTAACCTACCACCGAAACAATGTGATCACAACTACTTCAAATTAAATTCTTAGAATGACAGTTTGGTGGCTAGAAAAGATCTTTTTATATTTCTAGATAGAGCTGGAATTAGGGTGTAACAGCTTTTGTAAACTATGACTTCTCTTGATTATTTCTACAAAGTCAAGACTTCCCCTATCAGATTGTTGTGTTGGTTTGCGTGGGCGTGCCTTGAATTCTTAGAAATCATCCACAGAAGTCATTGTTTACAAAAGTTGCTACACGTTAATTCCAGCTATATCTAGATTTCAGCAACGTTAACAAAAGGTAGGTAAACTTGCTCCAGTTCATTGCGTCGTTCATATTGTTTAACTTCTCTTGTCTTCTACTCCTGTTTTGTTTGCGATTTCCAACTTGCTAGCCTAACTGTGCTCATGTGCTTTTCACTCTATTTCACTATCGACAGTGAGTCGTCCATAAACGGGGAATTGGTAAACATTTAGGACGGAACCTCAAATTGCATGGACGCGTTCAGACTCAGCAGTCCGGTCTTAGACGGGTCCGTCCGAAAATCCTCCGTTGTGTCCTTTCCGGACGCCACACTCATATGAAAAATGAAAGGACTCACCAGTTCGTCGGTGTTGTCGCTGTTTAGGCGCCGACCCAAGCGTCGCCGGGAGACGATCTATGGTCTAGTGGATCGATTGCACTGATGTTGGTGATGTTTGATGGCGCGGTTCCTCGGAAACCACCCTAGGACCCCTGTCCCTCCGATGGAGTGACGTGGTAACGAATCTACTTCCTTCTAGCGGCAGTGGGTAAGCCAGGCAAATTTCGTCATAAGGGGAAAGGCGGGTAGAGGAAGTCGATCGATCGATCGAGCGCGAAAGGTTTCTCTCCAGAGTTGCGACCTATCACAATCACGATCGTCAAACAGCTTATGGTAGTAACGCTTTGTACATTCCTATCAATGTGCTCGTTGAAGCTCTCTCCATGACCATCCATCAAGTTGACGAAAGAAGTAAAAAGCAACTGGTGAATGTCGTCTTCGGATGTGATCCATCACCGATCTGGTCATTCCCGACAATCACTACACTCATCTGTGCTCGTTTTGAAGCAGTTATTGCTTTGCTTACTGCTTTGCTTACTGCTTTGCTTACTTATGTGAGTTTCTTGGTGAGTGAGCCCAACAGCTTCCGTTTAACGTTGCCTGCTTTGTTTGTAACTCACACAGTCGCGCCTGCCGAGACGAACTTGG